ATGATTGTTGTTCAAATTTCATGTGAAAATGGTTACCTCGAACATCGTCAAAATATCTTATATAGACATTGGTCAAAATTTCTCACCCCCATAACTCGGTCAAATCTCATCCAATTTTCACGAGGTTTGGATCTTTTCTCTTGGTTTAGCCTCTAGATCATTTTGGCATCAAAGCCCGGCAACATGATTTTTGGTCAAATTTCATGTGAAAATGGTTACCTCGAACATCGTCAAAATATCATATATAGACATTGGTCAAAACTTCTCACCCCCATAACTCGGTCAAATCTCATCCAATTTTCACGAGGTTTGGTTCTTTTCTCTTGGTTTAGCCTCTAGATGAATTTGGCATCAAAACCTGGCAACATGATTTTTAGTCAAATTTCTTGTGGAAATGGTTCCCTCGAACATCGTCAAAATATCATATATAGACATTGGTCAAAATTTCTCACCCCCATAACTCGGTCAAATCTCATCCAATTTTCACGAGGTTTGGCTCTTTTCTCTTGGTTTAGCCTCTAGATGAATTTGGCATCAAACCTGGCAACATGATTTTTGGTCGAATTTCTTGTGAAAATGGTTCCCTCGAACATCGTCAAAATATCATATATAGACATTGGTCAAAATTTCCCACCCCCATAACTCGGTCAAATCTTATCCAATTTTCACGAGGTTTGGCTCTTTTCTCTTGGTTTAGCCTCTAGATGAATTTGGCATCAAAACCTGGCAACATGATTTTTAGTCAAATTTCTTGTGAAAATGGTTCCCTCGAACATCGTCAAAATATCATATATAGACATTGGTCAAAATTTCTCACCCCCATAACTCGGCCAAATCTCATCCAATTTTCACGAGGTTTGGTTCTTTTCTCTTGGTTTAGCCTCTAGATGAATTTGGCATCAAAACCTGGCAACATGATTTTTAGTCAAATTTCTTGTGGAAATGGTTCTCTCGAACATCGTCAAAATATCATATATAGACATTGGTCAAAATTTCTCACCCCCATAACTCGGCCAAATCTCATCCAATTTTCACGAGGTTTGGTTCTTTTCTCTTGGTTTAGCCTCTAGATGAATTTGGCATCAAAACCTGGCAACATGATTTTTAGTCAAATTTCTTGTGGAAATGGTTCCCTCGAACATCGTCAAAATATCATATATAGACATTGATCAAAATTTCCCACCCCCATAACTCGGTCAAATCTCATCCGATTTTCACGAGGTTTGGCTATTTTCTCTTGGTTTAGCCTCTAGATGAATTTGCCATCAAAACCTGGCAACATGATTTTTGGTCAAATTTCTTGTGAAAATAGTTCCCTCGAACATCGTCAAAATATCATATATAGACATTGGTCAAAACTTCTTACCCCCATAACTCGGTCAAATCTCATCCGATTTTCACGAGGTTTGGTTCTTTTCTCTTGGTTTAGCCTCTAGATGAATTTGGCATCAAAACCTGGCAACATGATTTTTGGTCAAATTTCTTGTGAAAATGGTTCCTCGAACATCGTCAAAATATCATATATAGACATTGGTCAAAACTTCTTACCCCCATAACTCGGTCAAATCTCATCCGATTTTCACGAGGTTTGGTTCTTTTCTCTTGGTTTAGCCTCTAGATCATTTTGGCATCAAAACCCGGCAACATGATTGTTGTTCAAATTTCATGTGAAAATGGTTACCTCGAACATCGTCAAAATATCTTATATAGACATTGGTCAAAACTTCTTACCCCCATAACTCGGTCAAATCTCATCCGATTTTCACGAGGTTTGGCTCTTTTCTCTTGGTTTAGCCTCTAGATGAATTTGACATCAAAACCTGGCAACATGATTTTTGGTCAAATTTCTTGTGAAAATGGTTCCCTCGAACATCGTCAAAATATCATATATAGACATTGATCAAAATTTCCCACCCCCATAACTCGGTCAAATCTCATCCAATTTTCACGAGGTTTGGATCTTTTCTCTTGGTTTAGCCTCTAGATGAATTTGGCACCAAAACCTGGCAACATGATTTTTGGTCAAATTTCATATGAAAATGGTTACCTCGAACATCGTCAAAATATCTTATATAGACATTGGTCAAAACTTCTCACCCCCATAACTCGGTCAAACCTCATCCAATTTTCACGAGGTTTGGTTCTTTTCTCTTGGTTTAGCCTCTAGATGAATTTGGCATCAAAACCTGGCAACATGATTTTTGGTCAAATTTCATGTGAAAATGGTTACCTCGAACATCGTCAAAATATCATATATAGACATTGGTCAAAATTTCTCACCCCCATAACTCGGCCAAATCTCATCCAATTTTCACGAGGTTTGGATCTTTTCTCTTGGTTTAGCCTCTAGATCATTTTGGCATCAAAACCCGGCAACATGATTGTTGTTCAAATTTCATGTGAAAATGGTTACCTCGAACATCGTCAAAATATCTTATATAGACATTGGTCAAAATTTCTCACCCCCATAACTCGGTCAAATCTCATCCAATTTTCACGAGGTTTGGATCTTTTCTCTTGGTTTAGCCTCTAGATCATTTTGGCATCAAAACCCGGCAACATGATTTTTGGTCAAATTTCATGTGAAAATGGTTACCTCTAACATCGTCAAAATATCATATATAGACATTGGTCAAAACTTCTCACCCCCATAACTCGGTCAAATCTCATCCAATTTTCACGAGGTTTGGTTCTTTTCTCTTGGTTTAGCCTCTAGATGAATTTGGCATCAAAACCTGGCAACATGATTTTTAGTCAAATTTCTTGTGGAAATGGTTCCCTCGAACATCGTCAAAATATCATATATAGACATTGGTCAAAATTTCTCACCCCCATAACTCGGTCAAATCTCATCCAATTTTCACGAGGTTTGGCTCTTTTCTCTTGGTTTAGCCTCTAGATGAATTTGGCATCAAAACCTGGCAACATGATTTTTGGTCGAATTTCTTGTGAAAATGGTTCCCTCGAACATCGTCAAAATATCATATATAGACATTGGTCAAAATTTCCCACCCCCATAACTCGGTCAAATCTTATCCAATTTTCACGAGGTTTGGCTCTTTTCTCTTGGTTTAGCCTCTAGATGAATTTGGCATCAAAACCTGGCAACATGATTTTTAGTCAAATTTCTTGTGGAAATGGTTCCCTCGAACATCGTCAAAATATCATATATAGACATTGGTCAAAATTTCTCACCCCCATAACTCGGCCAAATCTCATCCAATTTTCACGAGGTTTGGTTCTTTTCTCTTGGTTTAGCCTCTAGATGAATTTGGCATCAAAACCTGGCAACATGATTTTTGGTCGAATTTCTTGTGAAAATGGTTCCCTCGAACATCGTCAAAATATCATATATAGACATTGGTCAAAACCAACCTGGCGCCACAAAAGGTAATCAGGTATTAAGTACTGCAGTCGTTTGAAGTACTATTTGGAAAGCGTGCTGTTTGCAGGGTAGCTGCGTTTGACAGTCTTTTTATGCTAATGGGGCATTTGCTCAGTTGATTTATGTCAATGTGAACATACTAGGACCTTATGCAGTACCGAGTTCTATCGATATTGATGTCACACCAGCTTTTGTTAGGCAGCACCGACACGCTCTTGCAAAAGACTTTACAAGAAGATGTTTAAAGAAGTTTGCTGCAGTCGATAGGTCGAAATAATAGGCTGGAGACTTTTCTGGGACTTTTCTGAAGGTTTAAACAAAGAAAGAACATTAATTTGTTGTAATCATTAGCTAATAAGGTGCAGCTACATTTTGCTCTTGGCAAATATATCTTCCTCTTCAAGTAGTTCCCTTTCACTTCAAATTGTTGAGGGACACGCTGAGTGAGGGTATTTGAAAAGAAGACATAGCATAACGCTGTAGCTGGTAGCTAGTAGCTCCAGGAAGCAGCAACGATTCCAGCGACTCCCTTTCTCAACTTCCGCTTTGGCTTGCAGCAATTTCTTTTGGCTTTATTGCCCCCCCTCCCTTTTCACAGTCGTCGGCCGACGACACCCATTCCCCCTCTTCTTCTAACAGAGCAGACTTTACATCCTACATCCCCCCATAAGTCGCACCCCTTGCGCCGTGGACTGTATGCTCACCCGCTGCGGCAGAACGCATATAGCATAAATTTTGAATACGGCGGGGCAGAGATTGGGTTGGGGCTGGGGCTGGGACTGGGGCTGAGGGGGGTTGGTCCGAAAGAAAAATAGCGAAAATTGTCTGTCGCTTGATAAAACGGAAGCAGAACTTGCCCATAAACGAAATGTGGCAACTGAGTGTAAACTTTATTGGCGCCCGACCGACTGGCGACAACGTTTGCCAGAACTCAGCCGGAGACGGAGCCGGAGTCGGCGAGATGGAGTGGGGAGTTGGAGAGTGGAGCAGGAGTCGGTGGCACATCCATATCCAGAAATAGAAGCATGTTGAACCGTGTTGACTCATGCGACACGCATTTGGCGAAGGAAGCCCCCAGACATGCCCGGCGCAATGGCGTCTCGATGGCTGCCAGCGAGACATGAGACGCCAAAAGCGAGAAGCGAGCAGCAAAAAACAGCAACAAAAAAGAGAAGCTGCTTTGTTTGTTTTGTCTGCCTCATTTCTCACACTAAAGGGGAAGTCCTACATTAGTTGATTTCATGCGCTGTTTACATTGGCAGCGAATTATGCGCATTGAAAAGCCAAAGATTTGGCTGCCAACTGCTTTGCCGCTTCTCCCTCCCTTCCGTCCAACCTACCCAAACGGGGTCTACGGCCTGCCAGCGCCTAGTTCCTATATCCGGGTGTCATTGACGAGAATTTTTTGCATTTTGCATCTCTTAACGGGGCTCCAGCGTGTAAAATGAGACTTTGCTAGACAAATTTCTTCAACGGGGTATAAGTGTTTTTTTTTTTTTTTTGTTTTTTTTGCGTACAGTTTGGCTTAGCTTAAAGCCCTGCCACATTAATGCATTTCTCGTTCTGTTTTTGTCTCTCGACTGAAATATTTTTCCTTTTCTTTTCTCATTCGCAGAGGTCCTGTCCAGCTGGGAGGAATGGTGGACATACGATGGCATTTCCGGTAAGTTACATATTTATTCGAATCCAGAAGTAAATTTCAATGGAATTTAAAGTGTGCGTAAAATGTGGAAAGAACAAACACTCTGCAGACATTGGCGAGCATTCACTCGTTAACAAATGTAACGAGTGGCAAATACTCGCTGCACTCAATCGATAGAGCGAATAAATTTGTCACTCCCGCCCTTTGTAAATACCAAGTGCTGGGTTAAAGCTCAAGCGAATATTTTAAATGCCTGAGCAAACAAATGCAAATGAACAGAGTTAACAAGTGAATAAAAACCCGACTTGGCGTATCATATTTAAATGTAACTCATTCAAGCTTAACTAATTTACAAATGCATTCATAAGTTTTGAGCATTCGAAACATTTGTGGGTACTCGAATGTATTCCAAAGGAGGAACAAGTATTTGATTGGAAATAAAGTGGAAAATGTATAAAGATGGAGATTCATTGACAGCAATATAACAGAGAGATGTAAAACAACATATGGAAGAGAAAATAAGAGAAGGAAAGCTAACAGATGATGAAGAAGATATAGATACAGACAAAGATACAGATACAGATACAGATACAGATACTGATATAGAGATATAGAGATACAGAAATATGGAGATATAGAGATATAGAGGTATAGAGATATAGAGATATAGAGACATAGAGATGGAGAGATACAGATGGAGATAGAGATGGTGATAAAGATGGAGATGGAGATAGACATAAAGATAGAGAGAGAGTGAGAGAGAGAGAGAGAGAGAGAGAGAGAGAGAGAGAGAGATATAGAGAGAGAGAGAGATAGAGGGAGAGTGAGAGAGAGAGAGAGAGAGAGAGATGGCTGCTGCTATCTGACATTTGATCCGATTGAATTGGTTTGTGCAAATTAAATATGAAAGTGAGGAAAATAAATAAAATAAACGGCAACATATTTGTGGATAATGCTGCCGAGTTGCAACGAGTTTTGCGTGGGCTGTACGGGGCCTATGCCGACCGGGACGGTGGCCATTTTTGTTGCAGGTTGCAGCAGGACGCAGTTTTATTAATGCACCAGGGGCAGCGGCAAGGCTAGAGGTAGAGGTAGAGGTTCAGTCAGGCGACAGACAAAGCAAAAACAAAACTGGCAACAAAACGAATGAATAAGTGAATAAATGAATGAGTGAGTAAACGAATGAGTGAGTGAGTGAGTGAATGAATGCAAACACAAAATGAGCATCAACAGCAGCATGCAGCATGGGGGAGGCGTGGCAGGGAGCCACAAAAGTTGCGCTGACACGCGGCGCTTTTTAAACTTTGCCATTCAATGCCTAGGAGCAAGGTGTGCCTGCGAGAGGGTGTGCGAGCCTGTATGTGTATTTGCATGTGCGTGTGTGCGTGTGTGTGTGTGTGTGTGTGTGTGTGTATGTTGTGTCACTTATCATCAATATGTACACACAGCACAGCTATTCTCTTCCTCTCCCTCACATCGCCAGCTTTCTGAGGTAGTTCATAGGCACACCCTCTAAAATGAGCTCTACCGGGTCTACCTAAGCACCCGCTCATTGCGTAAATCGAGCAAAAATAGATACCGCTTGGGGTTTCTGTGCAGCTCATTAAATTTGTCATATTTTGTGGTTGGGCCTACGAAATCAACTCTGGCAAATATCTCTTTGTACCCATTAAAAATGGTTGAAAATGGCAGAAGGTAGCATAAGCGAACCCTAAGAGTATAAATGTTCTTGTTCAACCATGTCCGTCTATCTCAGAAACTTTTGGAGCTATTTGAATTATAAAATTATAATAACTATATAATTATTTATTATTAATTACTTAAGCTTAACTCAAAGACAATAGAGCCCAGGGTATATGCTAGTCGTGCACGCCCGATTAGCGCACTCTTAATTAATTTTCTTCTTTTTTTTTTCGTATTTGGATTGCGAAAAAATGCAACAGCAGAAATATTTAATTTTTTCCATATGGCCAACCCCCTCTCTACCCCTTCCCCCGCGCAACCCCTTAAACTCCTCTTACAGGGCTGACAGGGGAAGGGAGAAGTTTGTTGTTTTGAAAAGTTTCGACAGTTTCTGTCCATCATATCAAATTGAACATTTCGCAGCTCGGGCAAAACAACATTCGCAGCGCAGCGCCAACTATCGCTTAGCTAGGCTGCGGTCAGGGGAGGGCAGGGGGCAGGGTGGGCCAGCTTCGGGGTTAAGTGTAGTTGATGGGCGTGGCAACTCCCATTTGGTATCATTTAATTGCTATTTAAACTGACGGACAGCGAACCGAACCGAACGGTGTGAGCAGGAGGAGCTTATGAAATTTCATTTGGTGTTTGAACTGTCGACTCGTTGTTTACAATTCGGCTGGATGTTAGGGGGTCGAGGGGTCAAGGGCTCGATTTCCATTTGCCCAGCACTGCTGCGAGGACAACCGATTGACAGTCAGTCAAACTGGCAGCTATCATTCAGGTCCTTTGTATACCCTGTACAAATAAAGTGCACACAAGCTGGGCACGTTTTTTGGTCTCGTCTTGAATGAAGCTTCTCTCGAGAGCGCAGATTGATTTTAAGGTTTCGATAGTTCTGCAGCTAAGAAAGAAGCTGGCAAAAGCTGGCTGCTATAACACGTGTTATCAAATATATCACACCTTGTATACCCTGTACATGTGTAGTGCACAATCTTTGGCAAGTCTCGAATGTATCTTGTGTCCAGAGTTCCGATTGATTTTAAGCTTTCGACAACTCTCTCAGCTCTGCACATCTCGCAAAGCTGGCTGCTCTGACACGCGTTATCATACCCTGGGATTTTTGGCAGCTAGATTTTGTTAGCCATAGTACTATTTCATTTCCGAGCTGAGCTAACTATACCTACACATAGGGCATCCACTTGTCGACTATTGGCTGCTTTATTAATTATTTATTGTTTTTTTTTTTTTGATCAATTTTTGTTTCGACATTTGTTACTTGCAGGTCCCAGCTTCTGGGGCCTCATCAATCCGCAGTGGAATATGTGCAACAAAGGACGCCGCCAGTCGCCCATTGATGTGGTGCCCGACAAGCTGCTCTTCGATCCGTACCTGCGACCGCTGCACATTGATAAGCACAAGGTAAGCCCGACCCCACCGGAAAGGACACAGCCCCTCGTTATCTCTCTCTCTCTCTCTCTCTACCGCTCTCTACCGTTCTCTCTGTTTGACTAACACCGAGTGTCGTCAACAGGTTTCCGGCACGCTGCACAACACGGGTCAATCACTCGTCTTTCGCGTGGACAAGGACACAAAGCAGCACGTGAACATATCCGGAGGTCCTTTGGCCTATCGCTACCAATTCGAGGAGATTTACATACACTACGGCACCGAGAACAGTCGCGGCTCCGAGCACTTCATACAGGGCTACAGTTTCCCGGGCGAGGTAAGTCAATCAGCGTCGGGCCGGTCCCGACCGAGCAACCAGCAGCAATATTAATGTTGTAACATATTCCACAATACACACTCATACACACACACACACACACACACACGCATACAGATACAAATCTATGGCTTCAACAAGGAGCTGTACCACAACATGTCCGAGGCGCAGCATAAATCACAGGGCATTGTCGGGCTCTCGTTGATGGTGCAAATTGGCGAAACGCCCAATCCAGAGCTGCGCATCATAACAAGCACATTCAACAAGGTGCTCTATAAAGGTGAGTGCCCATCCCTAACCGATAGTATCGGCACGTGTTATTTTAAGTACAATCAATTTCGCATTCAAAAAGCAACGTTTAAAGCACGAGTCCGTCGTGTCACGACCGTAAGCATAAGGCCAACATCCATTACGTGTTAGTTCGGCTTTTTAAAACATAGGTTGATATCTCTAGTTCGGGTTGAATTTCGTGTTCAGTTTCTCGTGTCACGACACGACTCACGCGCATCTCTAGCTGCACTTTGGCATTCTGTGCTCTTTTCGCTTAAATAGTTCATTACAATCCAATCAATCCAGTTCAACGAATTGTTTTGAAAACCCCTCGTGTCACGACACGACTCAAGTGCATCTCTAGCTGTAATTTGTTATTTATTCTCCGTGCAGTGTTCCCTTCTCTAGCCCAGGCTCTAATTGCAATCCAATCAATCAAGTTCCACGCTTTGTTTTGCTATAAATCGTGTCACGACACGACTCACGCCCATCTCTCGCTGCATTTTGGCATAAGTTGTCAGCATTCTTTCACGTACAGTTGAGTTGAATTGCGTTTGATGAATTCTCCAGTTGGGCATCAGCTGGCAGGGCGAGGCAACTTCATTTCCGTTACGCAAAATGCACCGGAAATGTTGCAACGTTTGCCCGGCTCATGGCTCGCGGCTCACGGCTCGCGGCTCACGGCTCTCGGCTCGTGGCTCGTGGCAATGCGGCGAGCTCTTTTATGATGTCATTCCGCAGCAGAAACTGCAACTGCGACTGCAACAATTGTGTTGGCAACAACAAGCTGCATAATTATGTGCGGCAACGTTCTAAAGTGAGCCATAAAAATTGCTCGACAGCCGTTGGCCGCGAAATTGGCGCCGCGCCGCGCAAAGTGACGAAAATGAAACCTCGAATTACACTAAACCGACACTTAATAATTCCCAGCCAAACCTCTGGCCGACCCAGTTTAATAGCCTTTTTACAGGTCATACAACTTTATGTGGCCCCATCAAAAGGTAAAACTACAAAAACCGGAGAAGAAAAAAAAAAAAATGCAGCTCCCTTGCCCCCTCCCAAAAAGTTTCCTTTGGCCCGTTCGCCTTGGTTTTGGACTTGTAAAACGACTCAAAATATGCGGCCAATTTCTGTGAACCAGCTGGCAAAACAACTTGAAAGTTTAACTGCGCCAAAAGCAAAGTCCGTGCAACGATTGCGAAATACACTAACAAAGCGCTCGAAGCTATTGTTAAAGATGAATCGAAATCAGAGAGCGAAAATGGACCCAGCGAAAGGGAATTGCACTTTTCATGACCTCGCAGCGAAAGTGCAAATGAGAATTTCAGTTGAACAGATCAAAAATTAAATAAAGTTATCGAAAAAGTTAACGATTACGAAACTTCGAGTATATCAAATCCAAAAAGTATTGCTATTGTTTCAAAAACATTAACCTTATATCATTTATCAGTTTCCTCTATCGATAACAATAAAACTATCGATAGTTTCTTCTATCCTTAGCTTAGGCCACTTGCAATGCCTTTGTATTAGGACTCGACATTAGCTTAAGCTTGCAAAGTGTTTTTACCATGCTTAGTTTTATTCTCATTTATGATTATCGATTGTATCGATTTGTTTTCGATTGTTGTTCAATTTCAACTGGGAACCTGTTCGAAAGACACCCGATTGTCAGGAACTAAATTGTTCGGCCTATCGATAAAAATCTTGTTCGATTAATTCGTTTATACTTTATACTTTAGGTAAAACATCTATAATGTTTAATTTCTTTTCCCATTCCCATTTTATCGATAGTTTTCTATCGATATTTGTTTCCTCATCCAGTGTAAATGCTCGTCGTTGCATATCGCACACGAACTTACAATTGTGCTGCAAATAATTTTTCGGAATGCCTTACCTCTCACCAGCCCTTATTCTCAACTCCTACCTACCGGCCCCACTCAGCTCCTCGCATTCCGTTCGCGTTTTTTAGTTCCATTTGCCGCCGTCTCATAAACCGCGAGGCGCTTCATTTCCGGCTGGGCATAATGATTTGTATGAATGAAGTCGAGCGCCGTCGTTCAAGTGACCAACAAGAAGGCAACCAACAAATCAGACCCACCCCTCCCTACTAACACCCTCCCACCTCTCCCCGCTTCCGCTCATCCAACACCACTCTATTTACCCGTGAGCCCCTGTTCGCCCCCCTTTGCCCAGCTGCTGCTGCCCTCTGGGGCTAGTCTGAATTATTCATTAGGTCTTTTCGTATCGTCGACGTTTTGCATTCACATTCCAAGCGCATAAATAGCGAGACATAGCGAAATGTGCGCCGCCATTTAAATGGCAGATGCACCTTGAACTTTGCTTCGTATAGCCTGCAAAAGATGTTGAGGCTGGAAACGATGCACATGCATCTAAAAAGTATCTACGCTTCGATCTCTATGAGTGCGTTTTCTTTTTTCCTGGTCCTTAAAAACTTGCGTCTGCCTATCCCAAGTAACTCGACGAGCTTGAGACATAGACAATTAAACTTTGAACTTGTTCGTGTTCACTAAATAGAACTAAAAGTTCCCAAACTAGTTCAAATTGTAAACTGACCACAAAATAGTTTGTAGGCTTGCAGTTTATAAACTTGCTATTGAATGAACTATTGAACTTGTTCACCAAATTGAACTAGAAGTCCACAGGCTAATTTGAACTGTGAAATTAAAGATCAAAATGTTAGGTGTGCAGCCTTGTTCATAATCAACAAAATGACCTACTTAGTGCATGACTCGCAAAAGAACTATTGAACTTGTTCACCAAATTGAACTAAAAGAGTCTATACTAGTTCCAACTGGGAACTTGCTTTGTGAACAAAGCAAATCATTTACGACTGAATAGAGACGATCTAGTTCACGACTCGCAAACGAACTATTGAACTTGTTCACCCTATGGAACTACTGTTCCCCACACTAGTGCGAATCGTGAACCGAGCCACCAAAAATCCTGACCATGAATTGTTTATAATTGATTGAATGACCATCTCAGTACATGACTTGCATGAAAACTCTTGAACTTGTTCACCATATGAAACCAGCAGTCGCCACACCAGTTCAAACAGTGAACCGAAGAAATGAAAATTGTTTTTGTTAGCTTTTCGCTTTGATTTCGTAGTCTCGTATTGTCTGATTTGCCTTTCCAAGCATCTAAATTTAATCCTTCTTCTCTTCCCTTTTCTTCTCTTCTCTTCCCTTCTGATACTCTCGTATTTTATTCCGTAGGCTTCTCGACGCCCATTCGGCACATATCGGTGCGATCGCTGCTGCCGAATACGGATCATTATATTACGTACGAGGGATCCACCACGCATCCGGGCTGCTGGGAGAGCACCGTCTGGATAATAGTTAATAAACCCATCTATATCACCAAACAAGAGGTGAGCCTCCACTCCTCAGCTGCCACCGGTTGAAGGTAGCTTTTTATTTGTGCATTGCTTTCACAAACGACCGCAAATAATGAAATGCATTTGGGTTTTGCAATTGCAATTAGGAAGTTTTTTTTTTTTTTATTATTTATTTGTGTTTATTTTTTTATTTTATTTTTGGTTTTTTTTTAATTGTTGAAAATCGCATAAATGCAATTATAAAATTTCTCATCAATTGGGCAACGGTCGCAACGCGGTTCAGTTGCGGTCAATGCAATGCTCTGCGCATAATTAAAAAACAATATTTGGTTAGTTTAATCAATTTGCATACACATCAACACAGAAAGACAGAGAGGGTGGGTGGTAGGCAGAGAGGCAGTAACTATGTAACTAGACAACAATTGGGGGGAGAGGCAAAAAAAAAAAAAAAAAACCAAAGGAAAATCAAATAAAATGCGGCAACAAAGCAGTTGGTTTATAATAGAGCTTAATCAAAAACAATGCGTTAATCAAACGCAATTGAATAGATCAAAATGGGCGGCTGGCCATTGTCATAGAGGCGGGAAAGGACAGTGAAGGCGGGGTAAAAGGAAATCATCTAATTGGTTCATCAACAGAAAAAAAGCTAAGCCCAATGGCAACTACAGGAAATGACAAGATTTAAAAATAAATAAAATTAAACAAACTAAATATAAATAACTTTATTTGCTAGTGAAATATTGAGGGGTAAATCAGTACGATTGGATTGGCAGTGCTGTAAAACGCGCAAAACTAGCATCTCACTACAACACTGTTAGCAGTACTGTACAACACTGACAGCAGTGACTGTACCTCAATCAATAAGTCAATCACAGATATTTCTAGCTGCATTTGACATCAGCCTTGTCTAGCCATTGGCAATGCCCTTTTATCGCTTAAACTCTATACACTTTTTCTTCATGTTTCGCAGTTATATCAACTCCGACGACTGATGCAAGGCTCCGAGAGTACACCGAAAGCTCCATTAGGTAATAATGCGCGACCCGTGCAAAGTTTACACCATAGAACCGTAAGGACGAACATAGATTTTAAGCGTCATAAGGTGAGTGTCCTTTAAATATATCTGAATGTATGCTATCGATAACTATCGATATGTTTTAAATTGAGTATGCATATTGCATACATCAATATCTGATTGACTGACAAATTGACTGTTTAATGGAAATTTTACTGTGATATAAAGCCCAAGACGGATTTCTTGCATAATTCCACCAGCAATTGTAAAATATTGGTGGAAAACTTTATGGCTTAGCATTCAATCGTGCTGTAACTTAGTTTCCGACACTTCTCCACAAATTTCAGAGAATTCACGATTCTTTCATTCAATTCACGGTTCACTGTCAAACTTAAATATGTATAGAAAAAAGTGAGAACAATTCTTCAAGGTAAATCCACACGAGTAAAATACTTGTCAAAAAAGTATTTTTATGAATGATACTAAATTTATTAAGGCGGATAAAGAGTGAAAAACTGATATCAAATATCTGTAGAGAAATACACTTGATCCGGGCATAGCCGGATAATGTCCGCTTGTCTATTTATATGGAAATATACCAGGAAATCTGTCGCTACATAAGCCTGGCATATGCCTGGCATAAAAGGTACTCAATTAAATCTTTAACAATTTATGCTTTATTTTATGCTTTAAATCCGAAATAGAATCAAAACGCATGCCCTTCCATGTACAAGGACATGTATTATCGTGCGAATCGCTGGTCGCCAGACACGGGACTTCTGATACGTTGACGACAACAACAACAAAGACAACAACAAATAGAACAACAACAAATAGAACAACAACTGGAACTGGAACTGGAACTGGAACTGAGGCTGGCAACGCATTTCGCATTTTTGATGCCGCATTCAAATTTGATATTCACGTTTTTAAAACGAGCTCAGGATTCGTTTGGCTTGCAACATTCCTAAAAACAGCAACAACAACTATTACAAAAAAACAACAAACATCGCATATATATATATACACACATACACACACAAAAATATATATATATCGTTTCATTAATAGCAACAAGGTATAAACAGAGTTCGACTTCGGCTAGCCGAATGTCCAATGCCCTTGCAGAGTCCTCCGCCTGAACCTAATGCCGGCCTAGCCCTCAAATTAGTCTAGCTTTCTTCTAAACATATATACACACACACACACACATACATATGCACATATGCTTCTTCTTCTGCCCTATGCCCCATGCGTATAACTTCGGTGTTTATAGTCCGATCTTTATGAAATTGAGAGACTTTTAAGATGACATAAAAAAGTAGACATTTACCAACTTTGGTTAGATCAAGGAAAAATATTATAGAGACAATTTATACTCATAATACTCCCCACAAGGCTATAAAATCAGAAGCAGAGATCCTTTTGGTTCCATGGAGTTGATATCTCATGTGAAAAAGTCAAAGTACTCTCTCTCTCTCTGCAGGGGCATGCCCTAACAAAGCGCAAAAATATTTATGAACAAATAACAAACAAAAACAGTTAATGCCATGGAAGCTAACTAAAATATAGTTAAATAAATAAATTCATAATAAAATAAAGAAATAAAGAGCCTAGATATAAGCACAACGCATACAGCAAAAATTTCATTTGGGCGAATGGCAGGACACGCCCCACGCTGTGCCACAAATTAATTGCTGCCTTTTCATATTTGTGAAATAACAAAAATGCGTTTAATATTAGTTCAAACACACACACACACTCACACACACACACTCACACACACACACACAGACGCCTGCACTAGCTGAAAATTTTGTTATTATTTTTGTTCATATTTTTTTTAAAAAATTATTTATGGCCTCTTATTGATTATTTCAGCTTTATTTGTAGCATTTATTTGTATTTATTTAGATATTTATTTATTTATTTATTTTTTTTTGGCTTTAACTTTAATTTATCATTTGACACACAAAGAACTAGCCAGCGAATTCGGCAAGCCGAATCTGAAATACCCTTGCAGCTGAATAGAAAACAATTTAGAGCGCGCGAGTCTGCAGTGCCCGACTGGAAGATACCCTGCACCCAGCGTCGAGCCGCTGTTGCACTCATTCCCTCCTGCCTCCTATGCACACACACACGCATACACGCATATGCTACAACTTCGCTTCTTCTTCTCCCCTCTACCACACATTCTTGAATAACTTCGGAGCTTATTGTCCGATTTTTTGAAAAATAAACTATTTCGAATCTGTGTTTACTAACCGAGTGCCATTTAAATCAAGTTGAATGTATCCTGCTCTGATAATGTTCGAATTATCGAGTTATCGAGTGTAAAAATCGATTTATATCGAAGATAAAAGTATGAAGAGGAAAAAGTGAACTATTCCGCATTTGTGAGAACGGAACGAGCCGTTTTAAGCCAAGAAACTATTTTTAATCGATTTTTATCGATATTAAGAATACAGAGAGGAGTTTCATGCTGGTGGCATTTAAGAACAGAACTATTCCGAATCTCTGTGTACTAAACGGGAGCCATTAAACCAGATTTGATGTATTTAGTTCGATCTATCAAGTCTGAAAATCGATTTTTATCGATACTAAGAGTATGGATGGGAAATATAGGTAATATATTTGCAATATATATGCAAAATGTCAGCTAGTTTTACGTATTTCTGCGATTCACGCCTTCCGTCAGACAGACGAGCACGGCCAGATCGATCGACCGATCAAGAATATATATACTTGAAAGGTTCGCAGATGCATTTCTCTGTTTCTCATATAGCTTTACACAGGAGTATTTAACCCTTCTTAAAAGTATCCCATGCCTAACTCGATTAAATTTGTGAATTGATATCTATTAAAAACTAAATGACATAGTCGAACGAATTAGCTAGTTCCTAATCAGACGAAAGCTGTGACTAGAAGCAGCTGTTTTGTGTTTCAGGAGCTTAGCTTGAAGCGGAGCCTAGTTCACGGAGACTGGTTCATGAATGTTGAACAACCTAATGATAATATGCGCTGCAAGGGTATAAGAAGAAGCACAATAAACATACACACAAAAACAACAAATGAAATAAGAATTTCCGTAAACTGGATGGGTGGACAATAACTAAAGAAACCAAAAGGTAAATACATAAATATATATACATAAATATATATATATATATATATATATATATATATAGAGAGAGAAAAAAAAAACAAAGCAGACGAAAAAAATATAAATAGAGGATTAAAAAAAAAAAAGAAAATATTCATAAAGTATACAAGAAAAAAAAAGTAACTAAGTATATAGCTATATATGAATACGATATACAAATAAAAAACATATAACTATATGAAAAGCAAACATTTGACAACTACACAAAGGCATGAAAACTAAATGAAAGCCCCTAACCAAAGGAAAACAATAAAAAAGAACTACTAAGCAATGCAGCAGGAAGTTGAAAAAGTTGGGCATAGCATAGAAAACTAACTATAAAATATATATATATATATACATATATATATATATAAATAGTTATATAGCTAATATATGTGTGTACACTAAACAAGAGGGGAAGGAAAAACAGTTAAGAGCCAGCCAGTAAGTAAATACCAGACACACATAATCGATAAATGCATACTATACACGATATAAACACACACATATATATATATATATATATATACATATATACACACACGATAAATAGTCGCTATACGGTAAGCAGCTAGCATCAGCGATCGTCAGCGATATTGTTATCGATAAATAATCGATAGATCGTACTCAAACCAACTCTAGTTAAACGTGTTAAATGCATTAACTAAATTAGGCTTAACTTAAGTAGACGCAAAAGCAAAACTAAGCAACAACTAAATAAATAATAATAGTAATTTTTTTTTTGTCAATATATCGATAGACGCTTCGATATATACATATATCGACATACATATAAGTAAGTAACAGTGCTGGACAGCGGACAAGTAATGCATAGCGCTTAGTTTCATAGCAATTAGCTTTTGTGTTTGTAACATATGTTATTCTGTTGTTGAAAATTCGTGCAATTATCATAAGTTATACCCGACAAAGTTAAAAAAAAAAAAAAAAAAAGGATGAGGAAACCCCCTTAACATGAACTAGGCGTAGTCGAGAAAAAATTGTCTATTTGTATAAAATGCGATTGACTGTAAGTTACTATTGTGTTGCCATATACGACTAACTAAAATATATACATATATATATATATATACATATATATGCCATATAAAAATGCAAAATATGTACTACGACTATAGAGCAAACAACAGGAATATAAAGAGACAAATGCAAATAAACGTTTACAACAAACTGCAAGGGCGAAACAACAACAACAACAAATTGACAAAACCTTCGAGCAAACAATTATAAATGCATCTCTCTATTATTTTCCCATGCATAACATAACGACAACAACAAATATTATGAGTAACAAATTGAAAATGAAATGCAAATTAATACAAAGAACAGAAAATCACACAGAAACGAATAAAATAATATATAAAAATAATACAATATATATATAAAAAAAAAACCTACTATGTGACAAAAGAAAAATAAAGATGAAAAATAAACAAATTCAATCAAATGCGCATTTTTTATCAAGTCTCAAACATTTTGTCAGCGAGCTCCCAGCCTAAAAATGCTTTTTGAACTGGTTCCTGCGATCTGAGTAGGTCAACAGAACCAGTTCACTTTCCAGTGAGTACATTTCATTAAGTCTCAAACACTTTGTGGGCAAATTTGGTGATTCATGATAAAAACGTTTTTTAAACTTGTTCCGGAGTTCCTAAACAGGTGAACTGAACTATTTCACTTTCCATTCAATGGAAAATGCTCATTTTTTATTAAGTCTCAAGCAAAATTTGTAAATCAAGAGTGCTGCTAGCCAAACGCGTTTTGTAAACTAGTTCCTGCGAGCTGAGCAAGTGAAATGAACTAGTTCACCAGAGAATAAAATTCTCAAATCAGAGGATTATATTTTTGATTTTCATAAACATTGGAATAGAACAAAATTGTTAGACTCTCTAAATTTGGAATAATATAGATCATCTAGGTATTACGTTATATATATAAATGCAACTTTGCAACCTATTTTTAGCGGTATTATGGAATGAAACGTTGAACTTAATGTAACAGATTTCACTTAGTCTCAGCCCACTTTTGATGGACACTTTTGTGATACTTACTCAAAGGAATGATGGAATGGAACAGACTATATTAAAAATATGGTATGTCTACATTTTTGTCAATTAGTTGTTGGTTTATATTTTAGTAGTTTTCTTATTGCGAACCACTGGAATGGAACAGAGACTCGCTTGGAAAATGCAAATCTAGTATTACGTACCGAGCCTCGGCAACGAAATGAATTGAATTTCTGATTTCACATTGAAATGAAATAGCAAATGGGTTATCATGAGGGCAAATGTTAAAAGCCACTCAATATCCGGTTTGCTAATCACCGAAACAAGTCGAACACACAAATCAAATTCGGAATGCGTGAAGCTAATCAAGCGGCTGGCTAGGAGCAGAAGCAGGAGCAGGAGGAGAAGATGGAGGACGAGGAGGAGGAGGAGGAGGAGGAGAAGCAGCCGCCGGATGTGGAGAGGGCAGCAGGAATTATGAAATACCTTGGGCACAGTGGAACAAATAAACATCTGTTTGTTTGCTTTTTTGCATTTTTAAGGGGCTGCACCTTGGTGCCAGCTGCGCCCTATTTTAATATGCAATTTCAATTTCCGAAATATACAAACACAACTCATTCAGCTGTACGTGCATGGGGCAGGGTCGTGGGCGGGCTGGGACCAGTGTTAGCTAACGACTAGTCGTAATCGGAAATGGGCAACCGCATGTTTAATTGGACGCAATTGAAACTAAACTAGCGTAAAATCGAAATAAAAACACGCACACACAAATCCCAAAAATAAAAAAAAAAAATAAAAACTCAGCGCGTCCCGCGTTCCGTAATATGGTAATGGAAATTCATTTCATTTCACGTTCCATTCCAAACCGTTTTGTCCCGTCCCGCACCGCCCCGTACCGTCCCATCCCGGCTCGTCTCGTTGTGTTTCGCACGTAAAATTAATTACAAATTAATTTACCATAAATTGAAATTGCGCTCAGCGGGCGGCCAAAGGCGTCGCGTCGCGTCGCGTCGGTCAGTCAAGTGGTTCCCCCCAAAAGTTTGCCCAATAGCAATGGGCTGCTATGGGGGCTATGGCGGCTATGTGGGGCTATGGAGCGCCTGTTCATTAGCACCACAAATCGCTACAAAGTACAGTGCGGCTACACAAAAACGAACAGCCAATGTTTGCAGATTTAGCTCTGTGTGAGAAAGGCAAATGCTCTGCCAATCAACATGCTTGGGGTACAGTGCTCACTCGCTCAAGAGAACGCAGCTGCTTTTTATTTGCAATTCATGTTATTTTACTTAAATATAATTTATAAGTTTTAAAAGCTATATTCTTAAATCATTTATTTATGTAGGCGACTCTTCTTGGGACTTTTACGATAACTGAGAACTTCATTTTTTTTTTTTTTAATCAGCAAAGAGAAACAACAAAACGTTTAAGAATAGCGCACAAAGTAGAACTGAAATATTATGCGATCCCAAAAGAGAGAAAGAGAGAGCAAGAGAGAGACCAAGAGAGCATTCTTTTTTTTATTAAGTCTTAAAGAGTATCTAAAAGCCTACTACTGCAATCGATTTTCCCACTTTTACGAAAATAAATTGGACAAGGGTAACTTCTAGTTCGGCAATGC